AGCCAGGCCTGAGAGAAGGGAGCACCTCTCCTCCACAGACCAGAGCTCTGGTCTGTTTTGTGACTCGCAAGCAGAGCTCCGGCTCTTTGGAAGAAATGCTGAACTCAGCTTTCCTGGGCCATGCATGCTCCCTCCTCCCTGCCTGAGCCAGGCAGCAGTGCCCAGCGTGGTGGGTAAGCGCAGGTTCCACGACAAGGTAAGATAAATGGAGAAACATGCGCTGCAAGAGATGTTTATTGAGTGAGATGCTAAATGAATAACCCAATCAATGCTGTAATATTTAATTCAATACAAACTTCAGATTGAGAGTGTTCCCCATTTATTTTGTGCTGTCACCGAAGCTGTCGTTCATTAGAGCACTGTGCTGTCATTAAGGGGAAGAGATTTCCAGGAGAAAGGGGCTGGCTCCAGGCTGCACTGTGGGTGCAGCATTCACAAGGGAGTGAGCAACAGAGTTTTACCACCTTCCTTCTGTGCTAGGGACTTTAGGGAGGGCTCTGTGCTCTTCTGAAATTCCCCCGCCCTCTGTAATGCCTTGTGCCAGTGTAACATTTTCTCTGCATATCCAGAAGCCCTTTGCAGCTGTGTCTCTGCCCTCAACCATTTGGACATGCCAAGTGTGAGTTTAAACCACCCTATTATTTCTGCCTTCTGGGCTCCCAGTTCTCTGCTGGGACACTGCCACTGCTCACACTGTCAGCACAGGGCTGTAGTCAGGGTTGCAGGGGGAGGAGAGAACGTGTTACTATGTCCTGGGAACTCAGGTAGTGCCAGCTATATGGCAGAAGGAGCAAGGGGAGGCAGAAGAACTCTTCATGGATCAGGTTCTGGACTGTCAACCTGCCCTTGCCACATGCGTGTGCTCACATCTCCTCAGCACTGTGAGGAGCTGCAGTGTGCCAGCACACCACGCTTGCACTTGGACCAGGTTTTGGGCAGCCCTGCCTGCTGGCAAGCCAGACTGCCTGAGCACCAGGATAAAGTGCTCACCCTCTGACACATGTGCATTGGGATGGCATGGCAGGGGCTGCCAGCTGGCTGGACGGCCCCTGCCTGTGACAGGTGGCACATTGTCTCTGAATCATGCTGGCCATCCTTATTCAGCACACCTGGCACCCTGTCCCCCATATTTCATCGATCTCAAAGCATCTGGTCCAGCTCTAACTTGCCCTGTGTTTGACTGGATTTCCTGAGTGTAACACTTGACTGAGAGGTGCCCCCAATTCCTTCCATATCCTGTGATGCTTCTGATGGCTGTCATTCTGTCTGGCCTGTGTCACTGGCCAGGTTGTGCCAAGATCCAGGATGATGTCTAAAGCATGGCATGGCATCACTGAAGCCTTATTCTCTGTCATATTTTCCTAAGGGCTTACATGAAAGCAGCCGTAGGTAGTTCAATATTGATTTCCACATGGGTGTTAAAGTAGTGCATTCATTCCAGCAAGTTGAATACCTTTAGTGGCTGTTCATCAAAGCCAGTTTCACTCTTGAAGTGATCCCAATTAGCTTATTTATTCCCTTCCTTCTTTCTTCTGCCTCTCTCTTTGCTCTCTCAGGCAAGTCCTTAATTATCCCCCCAACTTTTCCTCAGGTGAAGCTGAAAGCTGTGCTTAACATGTCCACTGATTACCCACAGAAGAACTAATGTAATACAGACAAGTTTAGTGAATCTGGATGCATGTGTGTTTGCAGGCTCATTTAATTCTTCTTGTTCTCCCTCTCAAAAGGGAAACTCAGTCCTGCTGGCCTTTGTGAACTTCCCTGCTTTTGGGGAGCCAACATGGGCACAGTGTAGGTTTCTGTCACACCTCACACGCTCTGAAGATTTCTATTTCAAGGTAATTTACAATGATGCCATTGGAAAGGAGACCACAAAACATCCATACTATTTGGGCATGATCTAGAAGTCAAAGCAAATGTAAATGCAGAGATATGTATGAAAACAAACAAAAACAAACCCCTCTCCCCTTTCCAATTTAATATATCCATACATTGACCCATTCTAACTCTACCTTCCCTTCTCACTTTTCTTAATTCTGTGGCTGCAAGAATTCACATCTCATCTACCTTTCAAAGGCGGGTGAGTAACCAGAACTTTGTCGGCATCTTCATTTTAAACAGAGAAAAAACAAACAGCCCTCCCTCAAGCCCCCCTTCTCCCAGTCTGTTCCTGGCAGAAACATAGCAACCAGCACGCACAGCTTTCTGCAGGCAGCCTAGTTTGCATTTAATTAGTTCTGTGATATCCTAAACTTCTTTCAACCTCCGCCCCCAGAACATCACTGCAGAAATCCTCATTCTGGGAATGGCATGATGGAGCTGTCAAAAGCCCAGCATCTGTGCCAGAAAGTGTTTAGAGTACTTGGATTCCTGAATCAGGACACGGCTTGCCTGGAATATAATCTGGGACCAGGAAAACGAAGGGTCTGCGGGGGAATAAAGATAGGAAATGTAAACTACATTTTATAAGGTGGAAAATACAAGGCAGAGATATGAAACTATCTGTTCTCAGAACATCTGTCTGACCTATCAATAGCAATGCCAGGACAGGTGCCTGCCCCCTCTTGACAGGAAAAGACAAGGGTTTTCCAAGGTGAGGAGAAACCTGGTGAAGCAAGTAGTTCTAATTCCTACTATTTTCCTTCCACAGCCATGCATCCCCAAAACAGCTGCAAGTAGGTCCTTGTGAGTCCCATTGCAACAGGGCTTACATTCTCCTGGATTGCCTTATGTAGACTTTCCAAGGGCTCTGGGCAGACGAGGCAGTCACTGAACCCTGGAGGAAAGGGGTTTGTATGGACCACGATGGCAATGCCTCCAGGCACCTTACACCCTGCTACACCTTGCACAAAACATCACCTCCATCTCCATGCAATTCCTGTTAGCTCTGCCTACTCCATCCCAGCCCTGGGCCCTGCCTCCAAGCCTTCTGCTTGGACACTGCACTAGCAGTCTCAGAAAATGGCAATGCAATCAGTGTGTGCCTGAATCAGGCTGCCTGCTGGTGATCCTTGTCCTTTCCTCTTCAGCCCTGAGTTTCCACTCACAGACCAACCATTCCCACTCCTCCCAGGCAGCAGGGATTTCCCAATACAGTGCCAACCCCAGTGACATGCTGAGGTGGTCAGTGAGATAGGCACTGTTTCTCCCCTGAGCAAAGCCTCCCTTTCTGTCCCTTTATCCCTAACCCAGAAACACCAGCCACAGGACAGCTCCTCACAGTTTCCTGCATTTCTACTAGCCACAGCAAACCCAAAAGCTGGAAGGCAAGCAGAGCTGAAGCAGGCATTGATATTTTTAATCACTCTCTCAGCCCACTAACCCTTTTCAATGCTTCAAGCAGGCTTGCAGTTGGCAGGAGTGCTGCTGACAGTGGTACCAGCACATCGAGGCAGGTCCTTTATCTCTGTGTCTCCAGTGCAGTGCAGCTTCTTGCTCTGGCCGTTTGCAGCCTCTGGGCAGAGGAGGCAGCTGCATCCCCTGCCAGGACTCTGTGAATTAAAGCACAGGGAGCATTCACCTCGTGCAACACCTCCCACCCCTGCCAGTCTGCTGCTGTTAAACTCACTGCAGCTTCAGCAGTGAGTTTATCATCTCATTTGCTTTCTGATCTGACACCAGCCTGCCATGCAGCTGATCAAAGGGGAGAAACCAGAGTGCAGCCGGGCTGAGCAGCCCCCGAATTCACACAAACATGTCACTTCCCATCTCTGCATGTTAGACAACTTCACTTCTTTCTGTTACTGCCTCTTTTAATCTCTCCCTCCACGCATACACACACCCTTTTGCTTTCTCTTCACTCACTACATTAATTTCCTGTGCCCACATGCTGTCACCATTTTCCCTTTCTTTTTCAGTCTTTCCCATCACTTTTTCCCCCTTGCTTCCCAAGTCCCTACGTCTCCCTAACTGTTCTCATTTCTTTGTCCTCTCTCTTCTTACTCTTCCCAGAATTTTCACATTTTTCACTTGATTGCTTCAATTTCTGTCTCTTCCTCTTCCTCACTCTTTTTGGAGGATCTACATTGTTTCACAAAAGAGAAGTCACTTTTTGCAGCGTGGAAGTAATGTCCCAGAAGGGATATTCATCCCTTCAAAGCTGCAGATAGACTATTATTAGTATCAACATTATCTTTATAAATGCCTCTTGAATCAGTAAATGACCTCCTCCCATGAAGTCTTTCATGGATCAGAAGCCTCTCAGCACTTGAAATCCTGTGTGGGGAAGAAAGAAATTCAGTAAGAATTGCAAGAAATGAAGGAAGAAAGGGAAGAAAGGAAGAAAGAGAGGGAGCATGAAAGAGAGGAGTCAAAGAGAAAAGAGAAAAGAAAATAAAGAAAAAAGAGAAAAGAAAAGTATTTTGGTCTTTGGGGGAGGGTGTTGATGATAGGCAGTAAATACAAGGAGTTCCAATAGAAAACTTTTGTACAACCTAGCCGAATTCCATTTTAACATAATCCTCAACTCTTGTATCTCACACTAAACTAGCAGTCTTTGGAATGTCTCTGGTAATTCTCCCAATCACCGGCACAGGACTACAAATTAGTCTTAATTTTGGATTTTGGGTTACATTTCAATATTTCAGTCTGCAATCAACTAGCCTTCCAGATGGTGAAGAAGACCAGTTCAGACTGTTTAAGTTAGGAAATGAGTGATGATTCTGATCCCTTATGGCAAGCCCGGGCTCTTGTCCCTGATGGTAAAAAGACAATTTACAACAGAGGAAGGCATGGGAATCACACATTAGACAGGTGAGATAACTTTGCCTCCACTCCTCCACCCATCAGGCCTCAGCCAAAGCTTCAAGAGGTAGAAATAGTGTTCCAAAGCTCAAACTAATCTGCAAAATTTGTATTGAGATCTGAATATCTCTGAGGTCTTCAAGCAGGCATTTTGGTCTACACCCAGCTTGATTAAAGTATTCCTGGATTCAATTAACTGAAATATAATGGGATTATTTCACATCATGCAATCTGATTTTTTTTTCTTTTTTTTTTTCCTTTTTTTTTTTTTTGGTTACAGTAAAGTGAGCAAGTGGTGATTACAGGGCTTTATACAGCAGGCCTTGCTGTTTCTCTGAAATAAAAAAGTGACATGAAATTAGGTCAATTTAGCCAGAATTTCTTGGGGGAAGCAAGGAGTAGGGGAAAATATCTCTGGTTTTCCTTCATGAGATTATTTTCCATTAGATAATTCTAGAAAATGTATTCTCTGGCACATTAAATAACAGAAGAAGAAACAGTTTAAACGAAAGACACTTCATTTTCATCAAAATAAAATACATATTGAATCAAGTGTTAAATACATACACAAAATCATTTCCCCAGAATATTCTTTAATAGAAAACATTTTTCAAGAATTAGGGTTTTAATTTCGGTTCCATGTCAAGCCCATATTTCAAAAACCTGAATCCTGAGAGCGGGTAGTGGCAGGTTTTATTTCACTAAATCGTGCCTCTGGGAGCAATGATCTGCACTAGGCCAGGCACGGGGCTGGCAGCAGCCACCCACCTGTGAGCTTCAGCTGTGTCCAAGCTGGGAGTGACTTCCAGCACGCTGATGGGCCGGGGACCATTTGGAAATTCCACCATCCATCTCAGTTCCCCACCCTGGTGAAATGAAGGGTTCTCCCTTCATGAAAGCAAGGGAACCCCCTCTTCACTCTGTAACATCAGACCAGCCCTTGCTCGGGTGCCCATCTGAGGCCTTTGCTTGCCATGGCACTCCCAGCACTGAGCAACCAACTGAGCTCCCAAACATCAAATTCTCCTGTTTCAAAGCCATTCAGCAGATTTTATTTACAATATCTTTCTACGTCAGCAGCTCAGATAGTTCATTTTTGTATCCAAACCCCAACCCTTACACATCTGCAGATGCTCCCACATGAATATGATCTAAAACTTATCTTTGTCCATCATGTTGGAGTACTTTAGCATGTGGTGCTCCTTTTGAACCTCGTGATGTTTCCAGCTGAAGGTGTCTCTTGTGCCATGGGACACTTAGAAAAACACCTAAAATAAAAGAATTCAAAATCTGTGTTCCCTAAACCCCCAGTTCTCAGCTTAATAATACATTTTCAGCTGTGCAGTTACAACATTCATAACTACTGCTGAGAAAATAATTTGCAGCCAGTAATTTGCTGAAAGAATTTAGTCCCTTTCTCTGCTCACAGATGGTCCCTGAGCAAAATCAAAATTTCCTCGAATGTACTCATTATTTGAAAATACTCAACACATTTTTGGCAGGGCTTTTTTTCTTTTCCCCCTTTAAAAAACCACCCTTGCAGATTGATCACAAAAGCATTGCTTGTGCATTCCATAGTTAGTATTCTAGCCATGAGCTGCTGGTTTGTTGTGATTAATCATAGGTTCATACTATGGTTTCCATTCCCCCACTGGAGGGAAAACAAAACCCCTGTACTTCTTACAGTCAGGTGTAAGCCTTGAAAAAACCCCACGGGCTTTGATTTCCCTTGGGGAAAAGAAGCAGAGAAATTGCACTAGGGAATTTTAACCCCTTTAATCTCTGGTTCTCACAGGGTATTCCTGTATCTTTCACAGTGCCTGCAGTGCCCACTTAATGCTGCTCCACAGAAACTCTCACAACTGTACAGCAGGACCACATATTTGGCTGGAATTGTGCATCCTAATGGCAAAACAAAAAGAACACCCCATCCTGCTCCCCAATCCCCTGAAGGAAAATCAGTTTATCCCAACAAAAAACCCATGGTGAGGTTGCAGGATGCTGTGCTGGAAGCACCTGAGGCATGGGACAAACTGGAGGCTGCCAAGGGATGGGCATGGGCAGAGTCTTCTCCAGACCTGCGAGACCTGACAGGTCTGCTTTTTTAAGGAATCATTGCAGAGAACAAACAGATAAGGCTTCAGAAATTGATAGGCAGGGTCCATAATTTAAATTCCAGTAGCTTATTGCACACCAAGAAACTACATGCAAAGGGAGGAATTTCACATTGCATTTAACTGTTCATACCAATACTTAGGAAAGAGAAATATTTACAGGCTAGCGAAGGCTCAGTATCAAATCAAATTCTCATGTTCTGCCCACCTGCTCCTGCCAGCTTTGGGCTGTCCTGCTCTGCTCCTCTGGTTGGACACTGGAATTCATCCAGGGCTGGGTGCAGACTGATGTCCTAGAGCTGAAAGGATGGGGCACAACACAGTAAAAATCCCTGAGCCATTCCTCCCATCCATCAAATGCTGTCTTTCTGTGCAATTACATACTACTAATGCAAGCACAGACAGAATTGTGCCATTCTTTGCAGCTGCCACAGGGAAGAATCACATTTACATTACTAAATGCATCTTTCCAGCAAAACACAGAGTGAAGTCAGAAGACAGTCTTTGATAAAGAAGAAAGAGACTTTAAAACAAATAACCCACATTCACTAACATGTATTCAAATACAGACAAGAGGAACAGTGGTAAGAAAAAACCCAACCAAAACCCCTGACATTTCAGCTTCAAGGAGCCTTTATCACAGAGCATGAGGATTTTATTTTGGCTGTTACCTTTCCTTTTGATGGTGTCTTCTGAGTCACTTGTCATGCAGACATTTCTCCATTTACCCACGTGTAGTCTGCAGTGTGGGGGATCCTGTCTCTTGCAGATATATTCTGTGTTTGCCTAGCCCAAGCAATGACCAGCCATAGGGCTATAAAGGCTTTTCTGCTCCTGAAAGATATTCTGTGTCCAAAGTAGAGCTCTAGAAAGAGGTCTGGAATTTACTTGCATCAGGAAGACAGGACTGCTCTGCTGCTGCATGTATAGAACAATGACAACTACAAATGTTTTGAGGAAAAAAGGTTTTTTCAAGGGAATGACAATTGCATTTAAATAAATTTAGTATGTGGGACGTTCTGATTGTTAATCACATGTATGAAAACACCACACAAAACCCTTGGGACATATAAGGTGCACTACAATAGCCTGGCTAGATAATAGATACACATAGCCCTTACATTTTCAGTATGGCACTAGATTTATTTCATTTCTTGAACTGTGTGACAGGACGGTAGGAAGTAAGGAATTTCCACAGATGGAAATGGGCAGCTGCAGCTAGCCCCAAGCAGAAGAGAAAGGATTTAATGGCATTTACACCAAAAAAAATTGGAAGTGAAGTAGCTTTTGAAGATGACATCAGCACATTTCAGAATTAGCCATTTATTAGGGTAGGTGATGAGATCCATGTCATTCAAAGCTACTGTTTCTGAAGCTGTATTCTGGAAAATACTACAGCAGAGAATTATTTTCAACTGATATTCCCATACTTGTTTCTACCTTTTTTTTTATTGTTGTTATTGGTTTTTTGCTTTTTTTTTAATGGCAGAAAACATTTTTTTTTAATGGAAATGAAACAAAGAGTAGTTCAGAGACAGGAGGTCAATTCTGTGGCATATTCCATAGCAATGGAGACTTTAAAAATAAAACACTGCAACTTTTATAAAAGGTAGGTTTTTCATGGCTAGAACATTTTCTATCTATTGTAAAGTTAAACAATGAGGAATTTCCTTGATCTGAAAGCAGAGGCCGAGCCACTTAAGGCATGGGATGTTTGAAATAGAAGGCAAAACCCACAGTACAAAATTAGCAGTTTACACCACCCAGGACACCATTCACCACAAACCTCTCTACCTCAAGCATCAGAGGGTCTCATGTTCGGATCCAGGTGTGTACTGGGTTTGTATGGCCAGGTTTTGGTAGCAGGAGGGGATACAGGGGTGTCTTCTGTGAGATGCTGCCAGAAGCTTCCCTCATGTCCACTGCCAGCTGGCTGCAGGAGGGACCCACCACTGAGCCCATCGGAGATGCTGGTAATGCCTCTGTGATAACATATTTCAGAAGGAAAACAAAGGTTTGTAATTGATCTCAGAGGAGAGCGGCGCAGAGTGAGGATGTGGGAGCGACTCAGCCCTGCAGATCACAAGGTCAGTGTGGAAGGAGAGGAGGAAGAGGAGGAGGTGTTCCAAGCGCTGGAGCTGGGATTCCCCTGCATCCTGTGGTGCAGACCACGGTGAAGCAGCTGTGCCCCTGCAGCCCATGGAGGTCAGTGGAAGCTCAAAGATCTGCCTGCAGCCTGTGGGTGCTGGAGCAGGTGGGTACCTGAGACGGCGCTGACCCCGTGGGATGCCCATGCTGGAGCAGGCCCCTAGCAGGGATCTGCAGACCCATGGAGAGAGGAGCCCACGCTGGAGCAGGTTTGCTGGCAGGACTTGTGGCCCTGTGGGGAGCCCACACTGGAGCAGGCTGTTTCTTGAAGGACTCATCCCCTGGAAAATTGTTGGAGCAGTTTGTGAAGAACTGTTCCCTGTGGGAGGAATACATGTTGGAGAAGGTCATGGAGGTGTCTCCTGTGGGACCCCATGCTGGAGCAGGGCAAGCACCCCTCTCCCTGAGGATATGGTGAGCTGTCCATAATCCCCATTCCCTGTGTCACTGAGCCACTGAGGGGGAGGAGATGGAGCCTGGGAAGGATGGAGGGATGAAGGGAAGATGTTTTTAATGGTTTCTTTTACGTCTCTTTATACTGTTCTGATTAATTAGCAGTAAATTCAATTAATATCCTCAACCTCAGTCTGTTTTGCCCATGATGGTAGTTGGTGAGTGATTTCTCCTGGTCCTTATCTCAATTCATGGAGCTTTTGCTATTTTTTTCTTTCCAGTTGTGCAGGAGAGTGATGGAGTAGTTTTGGTGGGTTCCTGGCATTCAGCCAGGGTCAATCCACTACATGATGCAAATTCCTTAACTTGTTAAAAAGTCTCATCAGCTAGGAAGTCAAAAGAGGACAAATGTTACAGAGTATGTGGTTAGATGCCTCTTGAATCAAGATGTTAAAAAAAGAAACAAAATCTTTCCTGTTATTTAAGCCCAAGGTTTATGTCAGACAAAACACGATACTCTAACCAAGGGGAGAAGGATATAGTGAGCCCAGGCTTTATTAAGGTCTGGCTGTACATGATTTACTTTTCATTAGGTTTAGTTAGCAGATAAACACTAATTCAGGCAAGAGTTCTAACCGTGCTTAATACTTTAGTCTTAAAACAGAATAATATCTCCAGCATCATTAAAAACAAACATTCAGATGGGAACAAATTAACTCATATCAATTCAGCCAGCTGCAAAGACCTTCTTTCTATTACTGCTATTTCAGAAAGTTTATGTTGGCCATTCTCAAACCACCTCTTAAAAATACATGACTTTTGCATCAAGCCTTTAAGACCATAAAATTCAGACCTTTCCACCCAAGTAAGGGAGTGATTCCCCAAGGTCCCTGTGATTTCTTGGAGAATGCCCTGCAAGTGGGGAACCATCATTTAGTCCACCTCTCTGCCACAGGGTGAGCAGTGGTCCAACAAGCAAGTGACATAGTTTTATAAGTCATCTAAAACTGCACAAAGCCACCTATCCCAAAATACCTATTTAGGAGTTCAGGTCTTTATCCAACAGCTTCCAGAGAAGGGAACTTACCACTTCAAATACATCAGGGATAAAATAAAAAAGGAATGTAGTCTCTGCTTTGACACCTGTTTTGTTCATGGGTGATCAAACCCTTTCTGAGCTTTTATCCACTGTCCTGAGTGTTGAAAGCAAGCATCTCCAGCTCCAGGCAATACAAAGGAAGCTGCAGAAAGCAACAGCAAAACACTCACTGCCTGTGACTTGCTTCTATGCTAAAGCTGGAGCAACCTCTCCTTTTCTCTTCCACTTACATTTTCTCTGATTCTTTCTGACTAAACAAGAACAAGTCATATTTATTCTTACAAAAGTTGCTGGGTCACCATAAGCCCAAATTTAATCTCTGGTGGAAAAGGCTTTCCTGCAGACTGCATCTGAAAACTGCCCACTCTCAGATCCCACTTCCCATCCCAAAGCACTTTGAGAAAGTTTGGATACACATCTGAACTTTTCAGCTTGATGTACTATCTCCCTGTGACTCATAGAAATGTTTCTATGAATATTTAATTCTTTTAAGTTCCAAAAGGGAAAAAAAAGAAAGAAAAGGCTCAAAAGGGAAAGAAAAAGACTCAAACAAATACCATAGCTGCCAACATCTTGTGACAGAAAGTCAATAGCTTTTAAATCTGCATAAAATTACATACATTTCCATGAAATTACCTGCATTTGCATATAGTGATGCTACAAGGGAGTTGCAGCTCCTCCTCAAGACTCCCAAAATTCTGTCTTCTCCCACCATCCCAACAAAACATAAATTCTGTCACCCTTGACCTCTGAAAGCACTGGGAAAATACAGGAGGAAATTGCTGGGCCATCTCCATAACCCACTGGAAATTCGTGTCTGACCAGGGACATGGGCCAGCAGCTTCAGGAAGTCTCCTGTGACCTCTCTTCCTTTCCCCTTCCCCATCTCTTTCTCTCTCCTTGGCACTTCCAGGAGCAGACTGGGGAGAACAATTTCTAGCAGGTAGAATAAAGTCGGTCCTCCTCCTGGCTGTCCATGTTGCTCACCACAGGCAATTGAGGGGACAGTGCCCACAGTGTGCCCAGCCAGGTCCTTGTGGGGTTCAGAGACCCCTCTCAGCCTCTCAGGAGCTGGGGCAAGGCAACCCTGGCATCCTGTGCAACACCAGGGGTTGGGGAAGGAGGGAAATGGGGTCTGATAGTAAAAATTGCTAGCTTAGGGGTCTCTGGAGTGCATGGAAGGGGAAAAGGCTGTCCCAGAGATGGAGAGTAACTGCAAACTGGAGCCAAGAGCATGTTTGAAAAGACATGGCAATACTGGCTTTTATCCACAGGCAGAAGTGGTGCCTCAAGGGTACCACAAAGAAAGGGCAACCCAGCTACAGATCATCTGATTGAATGAATCACAAAATATTTAGGCACAGCATCTCCCAGCTGCTGTGATGGCTGCCATACCTTGTCACCCTTCCAGCCCTGTGCTTCTCCTCTCAGTTGTGTCAGCAGAGCTACATTTGTGGGGCAAATCCAGGAACCCCTGGTCACTTTGTAGCCCCCACACTGGGAAAGCCAGCGACACTGGGGGCACAATATATGGGGAGAGGGGGGAATATGTGTGAGCCATCTACCAGAAATTTTGGAGACACTGGAAATTGTAATCCTGGAGACAGTCTGAGGCTGGGGTTAGATGAGGTATGCTGTTTTTCACTACCTAGCAAAACCCAAGAATGCATTTGATGAGCAATTCCTTCCTGCAGCAGTCTCTTGTCATGATTCCAGTAGATTGATATATTCTAGAGATAGTCCTGCTGGCTGGAGTGATTGCTGGGGGATCATGGAGGAGCCTGTCTCCAGGATCACAGAGCATCCTCACAGCTTCTTCCATGGTCTTCCCTCAGGTTATAGAGAGAGCACGATGTGAACGGTTTCATTTTTTTTCCTGCCTTCTTACTGCAGCCCCTCAGCACAGCAGCCAAAGGTACAGTTTGATGCACCTAGGTTTTCTCTGGTGACATTTTCCCACCAAAAACTGAACTTGAATCCACCAGCTTGCTTTCTCAGAGGCCACAAAACAGGTTAGTAATGAGTTAGATCAAAATGGGGAGAGTTTTGTATCCCACCCTCAGGCCCTGGCCTCCCTGTATGTAACTGCTTTTGAAATATATTTGGTAACACACCGAATGTATTTAAAGGGACTGTAGAACTGGCCAATTTTCATGCTAATTAAAGTGCAGGAGATGGAAGTGAGCTGTTTGAAATACATTACAGCACTGAGGAAAACATATTGTGTGCTATCTCATATTTTTCAAGAGCCCATATTCAAATCCACTTTCAATCTGTGTGCACTGTGCTGCTGCTGTTGCTGCTGCTGCCTGCATTACCAATCCACAAGCAGCATCCACCCTGCCCTTCTGCTGGCCCAGCCTTTGGCATGGGATGGACCTGGATGCATAGCCCATCCCTGGGGACAGGGAGAACTAGGTCAGTGGTTTAGAAGGAGCTGGAGCACCAGCCTCTCACATGGGGGGAGGCAGGGGAGGGAGAAAATTACTAATCTCCACAGACAGCACAGCCAAAGGGGACAATATTTAAATTTCCCACAACTGATGCTTACAGAGGAGGGAGCCCAGACTCACAACAGTGTTTCTCTTGCAAGGAAAGCATGAGGTTCAAGTAAATGTCTGGGGAAAGGGAAATCTAGTGCAGAAAGGCATTTGCAGAGCATGTAAGCATCTTTTCTTTGCTTCCCTGGATAGCTGGTTGTTGGGTCACACCCCAATGTCAAAAGTAGACAAGAGTTAGACCAGCATCTCTGAGCCAGGGGCATAGGTGTAGCTTTGACCTGGATTTCAGCTCCCCAGGGTGCATGAGATGTTTATCAAATACAGGGCAATTTACTTACCTGGCAGGTCTGTTGAGACCAATGGTTTTGTACTACTTGCTAAGATAAGTTTAGAAATTCATTTCATTTGAAGATATCAGCTGTTGTCCCTTTGTTTACACAAAGTTCCTTCCTCCACAGCAGGAGACCCTTCAGAGTGCATGTTCATGTGTATGAACCAGTTTCAGTGTCTGGCTTGGGAAAAATCTGCATGTAAATAGATGGGAACGTCTTTGAGTACTTCCCAAGGTAACGGTGCATGTGCCATGGCCCTCTGGGCTCAGCTCTGCATGTGGCTTTGCCTCCCTGCAGAGGGTGGCTGGCAGAGGGGCTGATCTTCCACATGCACACCCACACCTCCCCAGGAAGGGGTAGAGAGAAGAACCTACTTCTACAAAGACTCCCATAGCTGCAGGACTCTTGTTCATCTGTGATTGCTTGGGTGCAGGAATTATTTGGCTGTATTCCTCGTTTTCACCTCCTTTCCCTCCCTTACTGACCTTTGGATACAGGGTTGACAAGAATATTTGTCCCTAGGGCTGGGAGCTACTAAGCTGCACTGTCAAGTGTTTCTTCACCCTCAGGAGGAAATCTGCTTCTTTAAATATTTGTCTGACTCCCTGACAGCTCTTTGACAGAACATTTTGACTGTAAACTTCCCTGTTTACAGTAGCATTCAGTGGCAGAAGACATTTCTATCAGGGCACCCTCCCTTTTGCAAGCAAAGCCCTATTCCTGGCTGACAACAGATTTTCCTTCCCTATTTCAGTTCATAGCTGAGTCTTTTCCCCTCTGTTATCTTCTGTGAGGACTTCATTTCCCAACCAGAATTTGGAAAGACAGCTGCCCTGGGGCTGGTATGAAGATTGCAAAGGTTAGGTAGCAGCAGGTGAGACGATAAAAAAGAGAGTCTGTTCCCACTTGGACTCCACCAAAGGACAGAGGTGGTGGAACAATGGCAAAAAGAGCAAATCCCTGTTCTAGTGAAATAAAGGCAAGTTTCTCTCTTAAATGTTAATTGAGAAGTTTTCCTTCTTTTCTTCAGAGTCTGGCAAGTAATGTGTGTGTGGGTGGAGGAAGGCAGGAATTACCTAGCAAATCTGGGAACACCCTGCAAACCCAGGGATCACGTGGTTGCAGAAGCAGCAGCTCTTTGGAGGCAGCTGAGGTAAGCCAAGAAGACACGTGGGAGTAGAGGAATTAGGCAGCCCTGTCTCTGAAGCTGTTTCAGCTTTCTGGTGTCGGGTCCAGATGAAGTCCTTGCCTTTGGAGAGAAGCCATCACCAGACAGAGCAGCTTTCTGATTTAGTTCCATGAAGGCGAAGCAGATGACTGGTCAGTGCACTAACAAATTTGAAAAGACATGCCTGAATTAAGTCATCCCTTAATGAAGAGCCTCTGAAAAAATAGCCTGACTTCATAAGCCTGTGATGGACTAAGCCTTTTAATAAGGGCAATATCTAGATTGCCTCTGTGACACTGGAGATCACTGAGTACTTGCACCCTGCTGCCTGGCAGTTTACAACATGAGAGGTAAATAGGAGTGCTTCTAGGAATGAAGAGACTGATTGATAAATTATTCCCATTGAAGAATGGACCAGAATAACAGAGTAGCAGGGCCTGTGCATCAATTTCACTTTGAAGTTAAAAGCATGGTGCTGCCAAAATTTCATCTGTGGTGTCTTGTCTAAGTGAAGGAGAACAGGACCTTTGCTTATGGTGGTGGTATTCATGTTGTTTTGTCCTGCTGAAACAGGAGGTTGAGAAGAACCATCCATGCATTTGAGCATCTATGCAGTTGAACAGGTTACAGGATCTTCCTCATTCCAAAGATGATGAGAATGTTAGTAGTCCCAGAGACTCAGTCACCTCAAGATATCCATGCTCAGCTCTTCATGCACTTTACAATGCTCAGATTGGGAGTACAAATGCTTTTTCTGCCACAAAAAAAGCTGTGTCTCTGGCAGAACCACAGACACTCATTGTCAGAGGAGTGCACTGTCACCCAAAGGAGGGAGGGACCATCTCCTACAGGTTTTCTGAAAGGCACTGCCATTGTTCAGAGTGCAAGTGGGCTGAGGAGCTTAACAGATGGCTGCAGTGAGACATGGACTCTCTACAGATGGTGAATGCATTCCCTCTGAGATCAGTGGTGGGCTGGATGACAGCCCGATATCGTTGCAGACTCCAAAAGCCTGTATTACCCCCACACACCCTGTTATCATGACATTTTCCTCTTTGGAAAAGGCAAAGGGATTTAGAGAGATAGAAACAGACACCTACATAAGTAGGGAGAAAACAGTGAAAATGGCAGATGGCATAGAAACAGGTATGTATGTATCCCTCTGAGAGGCTGTCAGCAGGGGAACAAAGGGCAAAGCAGCTATTGCTCACTAGCTTCCCTTGTGGACATCTCTTCCACGCCAGGGACATCCATAGGATGGGCACCCTGGTTTTCAAAACATAACTTTCATAAACAGTAAGCAAAATGTCTGAGGATAACATCTCTGAGAAAACCTCCCAAGAAGCCCTTGTCCTAAAGGATTTTTTTCTTTGAGAAAATGGTCACAATTTTGAGCACTGTCCCATCTCTGGATGGATTTTTTGCAACCATCTCTTAAAAGTTTGGAAGCCTTTAACAGACCTGATGAAATCAGTGGAATTAGACAGCAAATAGGTTCCTGCTGTGAGCAGCCTCAGATTTGAACAGATCCCCACCTTACACCTCCCACTCCATAACAGAACACTAAATTTCCCATCAAATAAGCAGTTTGTCAGGTTTTATCAAGGGAAATAGTTTGGTTTCTTAGCTATTTAAAAGCCAAAGCAGAAAATTATTTCAAAAATATAGAAATATTTCTATATTTTTGAATAATATATTCAAAAATATATAAATATTATTTCAAAAATTATAGAAATTATATAAATTCTTTCAAAGGTATTTTTGAAGTCCTGTTTTGAAGACAATCCTCCTCCTGGTAATATTTCAGCAATGTAACACTGAAAGACAACACTAAGTCCAGGGTTTAGGAAGACACATCTTCCTAAAGGATGATCTTGGGCTGTTTAATGATTGTGGTGGATAATAACAAGAACCTTGGATGCAGTTCCAGGTTCCACAGCAACATGCAGGTCGGAGAATTATCTCAGCAGTCAGCATCCATTGACTCATAGAAAGCCTGACTCACAGCTATTGGTATCTACAAGAGTTCCTTTTATTTCTGTATTTCCCTCTAAGTTTATAAGATTATACCCACCAGGACTAATGCAATATTATCTCAGGAGCAAGCTTAAATTCAGCAGGCTGGTATTCAGCAAACCTCCCAAGCTGGGCAAAGGTCTGTATTAGAATGCATCTCCTGATAACTCCTCTTCCCAAAGCCCCAGGGCTGGTAGGCAGAACAGCACAGCCCTTGAAATTCACTTCCTTCCAGTTTTAACAGAGCATTTGCAAGGAAGTTTCACAAGAGCAGCTATTCCAAAAGACACTGCTGCTAGTTCTAGTGGCAGAATAAATCTTATGATTCAGCATCCAACACCTTCTCTGGAAGCTCTGAAACAACCCTAGATATGCTCCCTTTCCAAGAGGAAAAAAAGGAAAAGAGAAAAAAGCAAGAAGTCATTTGAAGCATGCAAGTAGATTTGTAGACATGAAAAAACACAGAAGATATGTCTTGCTGAATACAGACTTGCTGGTGCAAAGATCTTACTTTAAAATTGATGGAAAGGCCCCTTGTGTTACATTGCTCCCTGGTATTAAAGTACTGTTAGAACACCTTGCAGGATGGAGCACAATAGGAATGGTAAGTCCTAAAGCTATATATTGAATTATGGAAATATCTCATGGGTACTATTGTTCCCAGGATGCTGTATGCCAGTGCAAGTTGATCCCCAGTGGCTTTGCCAAGAGGTTCTGGGATTATTCCAGAGATATTACTTTTAGCTTGGTCTCTCAAGTCTGCTAAATACTTCTCAATATGAAAACTGCAGTACCATGATGTCAAGGTGCTAAAACCACATGAGGAAAGTGTGGGGTAGGGAAGCTTGAAGCAGAGAGAGGAGTTGTCCCAGCCATGCTCCTTCACCCCTGCCCAGCTCTCTTGTTCCAGGGTATTTCCCACCACCTTCCAAGGTTCACCGTCCAAGGCAGCCAAGCCCTGGAGCTATTGCAGCCGGGCATGCTGCAGTGCAGCCACTGGCCCTTGCTCTTAGGGAAAATCCTCCTCCCAAAGGCTGCTTCATTTATTTCATTTGTCTCCTTTCCCTCTCCCACCCTGTCCTCCGGGGAATACAACCCAGGCTGATAAGCTAATGAGACAATTAGCTCTCTGCTCCCTGATTGAAGGGCCCTTTATTTCCTTAACCAGCCAAGCCAATTCTCAACATCGTTGAGTGCTTGACTTTATTTCTGCAATGTGATTCATCTTCCCTCTTGCTCATATATAAGCCTACCATAAAAGAGTGTTATTAGTGTTGCCAAGTTAAGCACTCACTTGTTAGCAAACATTTAGGCCTAAGCCTGTTTGGGGAACCTTAATTCACCCTCTTCCTCCTCCCACTCCACAATTCACCTTGCATGTGTATTTTATCAAGGCTTTTAATAACCCTATCCTACAGCAGTGCACAGAAAGCCCATTCCACACTCAGCACACATATTGGGCAGTGATCTAAGAGGAATGACGAGCTAAGGGATATTTGTGAGATATTTTAATTGTGAGAGACTGCCTCACAACTTGACCTGCCCCCCACCTGCTCTTGCATGTCAGGAAAGAAGATTATTGCAATGCAGCATGCAAAAGCTGGGTGCAGAATCATTGTGAAATATAACCCAACATGACAAAAATACATCTTAAATAACCACCACCTTCTGGAAGCGTTCACTGCAACCCTGGCAGAAGGGGAAGATGGAGATCAGCAAAAAATTGAGGACTTACTCCCATACCTCCTAGGTGATTACACAGCAGCCCTTTTATTTGGAATCCATCTTCTTCTACCTTCAGGCCAGTATGGAAAGTAGATTTCTGAGGCAGTTGTTCAGGAAGGGCTGCTTTGTCTGCACTCTGGCTGGCAGGGGAAGCAGCAGTGCCTTGCTCCTCGTCTGACCCTGTGCCATGGAGAGAGACACAGCCTTTCAGAGCCCAAGCTCTTCTGAGGTGAGAGACAAGGTATCTGGTTTGCTTGTGTCTCTGTATAAGGGGAAATGCAACAGTGGAGTTTAGGGGTTCTGCAGGATTTGCTCAGTCACCACACAAGGTCCCTGTTTTCCTCCCCTGCCTCTGCCACCCACTTCCACTGAGCCATGCAATTGTGACCATGTCACACATACAGCACTATGGTGTAGCTGTCAGAGTATTAGCCACTCATCAGCCTTTCCTTGGCAGCACCCTCTCCACCAGATTGGGAACAGTTGTTTTTTTTTCTGTTGTCCCCATTTCCATACCACGTGGGAAAGAGACAAATGGTGGATTGCCTCTCCGTGTCTGAAGCACCCCTTCTGACTGTTGGGATGATGATCAATGCCAGTGCCTGGCTGCATCCTTCAGCCCATGAGATGCTTTCCAGTCTTGCAAAACCTGCCCTCTATTCAACACTTCCTTATTGCAACCTTGATAATTTAAGTTGTAACATCTCTTACTGATTTCTTGATAGAATATTCCTCCAGTGCCAGTAACAGCTTAGAGTGGCCTCAGAGACACATCTAACGAGAACTATCTATGTCCTCTCCCCTCTTGCATGCAATTGCTTCTAATGAAGGTTGCAAGAGAAGAGGAAGGATGGAAGCCAATGCTGGAGTTCTCTCTAGATTAATATTTTGCTTAGTCAAGTATGAAAGGGAACCTGAATTCAGGATAACATGAATACTATGCATTTTTTTAACCCCAGTCTTATTTTTTGTTCTTGTTTCTCTAGCCATTCCTGAAAACATGCAAATATCCTATTGAATAACCAAGAAAAGGTCTCCTGAATACAAACACAGAACAAAATAACTGTCAGGTTTATGATGCATCAATCTCTTCAGACAAGGAAGCATTTTTGCCCAAAAATTTCAATTCAGGCAGAATGTGAAGGCTTTTGCATTTATCCCATAATTTACAAGCACAGGAACAGCTATAGAGCAGGCTCAGGTCTACAGTTCATGCCCTGACAGCCCATGGAAGGAGGCTCAATGCAAAAGAAATTCACATTGTTTCCACTTGGGATCTCCCAGACAAGTAGGTGGCAAGTTCACCTACATCACTGAACCTCTTTCGTTTATATGTGTGCTTGAGTGAATTAACTCTCCTCAGCATTGCAGAAGGCCAAGAGTTGCAGAAGGACTTTTCTTGCAAAGATTCCAAGAAAAGTTCTAACTGGTAACCATGCAGAATTGTAAACATTTGATTCTAAAGACATGCATGGGTATAAAAAAAGTATTGAATCCATAAAATTGCAGGACATATGCAGCTACGTTCAGTGGCCACTGCCCAGTTGGGACTATAGGAAATAAAGGCCGAAAGTTTGCAGAAACATTTGAAGACCTTGGAGAAAAGCCTTGCTTTCTTCCACTCATGACAGAAACAGAACAGCAAACAGAGAGTTAAGGCTTTTCCCCTGCTACACTGCAGCAAAAATGAGAGATTTAAATAGACTGAAAATGTAAATCCAACATTTACTCCATAGACATAGTGAAGCAGAGTGGAGGGGAGGGGAGTGAGGGAGGATAGATGATCATTGGATGTGTGAGAAGAGAGATGCATCACATAGTATATATTTTATATGTATTAATATTCATACCAGTTCTTTCTTTTCTCCCTCCAGGCTCTGTCTGCTGCTTCAGTTCATCCATCCGGCTTCAAGAGGGAGATGGATCTTTCAGCCCTTTCCTGCAACTCTAAGCTAGAATCTAATAATCAAAATAGCATGTGGTTCCTTTCTCAGCAGCACTGCAGGAAGATGCTGGGGCATCTACAGCCAGAGTCCCATCCGAAGACAGAAAGCAAAGTTTGCAAGAGGGGTCACCCCATGCTCCTTGTGAACATCAGAGATGTGCTTGGCTGGTGACATTCTGGGAGAGGACACATGGAGAGTGACACTTCTTTCTCAGTCCAAAGGGAGCACCCCTGCTTTTAGAGATGCACAGAGTTTTAAATACTACTATCCCTTATCTGAAGGTCTGGAACAACTTACGGAACAGAGTAACCCTGTGAGAAGTCATCAAACATGGAATTGAGGACTGGAGATAACCATACCTTTGGAAAAATATTGTACTTTCTGATGGTGGAATGGTGGTAGTCAAGAAAAGTAAAGTAGAAAGGCAGTATTGTCTTCTATTTATTTGGAAACAAAGAAAGCCCTGCTGTTGAGGAAGGGGAAGTCAGTTGTCCAGGGCTCTTGGCTGTGTCAAAAAAACCATCAGCATAGAGGCAGCAGCATCAAGATCAAGAAGTAATGTACAGGTTATAGTGCATGAGAAGAGAGTTTCAATTTGCTGTAAAGATGAAGCTGAAGCTTATGCTTAAAGGCTGCTGCAGTATTTTCATTCCAACACTACTGAAGATTGTCATGAAAAAAATCCATTTTCTGAACTGTGTTTGGAAGAGAGACAGTAGTAGTCCTGGAAGACTGATGTTTCCCTCAAGACTCAGGTGCTTCAAACTAAGAAAACTTGATGGCAGTGCTTAAAAAGCACTATGTGCCCCAAACAAGCGTCACAGCAGAGAAATAAATTGCTCTTAACCAGGCCAAGGAAAGGTGAGACTTAACAGCTTTTTCACTTGTCTTGCAAAGCTCTTCTACCTATCATGCTGGTATTCATGCCTAAGGACTCCCTTGGGAATTCTTGCTTTCTATCTGGGAATCAAAAATCCTGGACTTTGATGAGGAAAAAACTGCTGAATATTTTTCACGGAGAGCAATTTAATCCAAAGGAAGACAGGAACTGTGTGAAGCCCCACACACGTGTGTGGAGTCCAGCTCTGAGGGACACTCCTGCTGGAAGCCATCCCAATGTGGTGAGTGAAAGCAGACCCACACCATGGAGTCTTTTCAGGGAACCAGGTTTAAAGGCATGACACGAGCTGTACCTGTGCTTCTCCAGCTGAGCACAAAAGGTTTGGACATGTAGCATGTACGTGCACTTCTCTAAAATGCAGTGAAGGGAAAGCCATTTTATATTTGTAATGAGGAGGACATCCTCTCTTGTTCTCAAAGAGAGTGACTCATGTATCTACTACAAAGGATTGGTCTTCCACCATGGAACAACTCTTCTGAATTTTGGAATGCAGAAGCTGGATTTTGGTTAGCTGGACCAGGTAAAAATCACTGCCTGCCCCTCTTTACCTTTGGACACAGCAACCAACAGATGTGTCCTTATTTTTTGGGGAAAGTACACAGAATATTTACCATCATTCTTCCCGCAGAAACTGACAGTGCTCACAAAATTAGCATCCAGGAGATAAAAGTTCAGACCACAACCGGCTGCCGATTCACATAGCACAATTTAAGTCAGTGCCACTTTACAGCAAAGCTTTTACAGGAAGTGCTCAGGAAGGTTTTTGATCTATGGATGGAAAGTAAGTACTTTTTTACTCTTGCCATTATTTGGTACAGAAGGAAAAGATTTTTAGCCTACCATGGAAACATGGATTTGTCAGTGTTGTTTGTATTACAGTCACATCCATGGCCTCCTACTGTGATAGATGCTGAACAAAAATGCAAGTGAGAAGTCCAAGGCACCTAACAAAGATATCCAAAAGGAAAGAAGTGAAACAGCTTGTCCAACACCATGAAGCAAAGCAGACACACAAAGGAGCACAGACTGCTTAGTCACATGTACTTCTTAGTGGAAGTTGTGTACTTACTGAGGTTATAACTTCACAAACACGTGCCTTCAGACAAAGGCACGTGGCTTCTGCTGCTACTGTCAACCAAAGACATATTTCCTGATTAGTTCATTGCTCCCAGTGGATCTCTTCAGCAGAGTCATCCTTACCTGTAACTTCTGGAATCCATCCTAGTTCAAACACACAGAATCAGAGCTGGGCATGAAGTCTTTCTTGCAGCCCCGGAACACCACAATCACACATTTCACGATGACTGGCAAAGTCTGGTTTCCTCTGGACAATTTTCATCTGGAAGAAGTTCTCTGTATTTTAGTAACAAGTGCTTTGTATTGCAATCTTTGTATCAAAAGAAAGTAGAACTTTCTTTTCTCTCGGTAGTCCTTTGCAAAAAAATTGGACAAGTTCAAAAGTTGTCTGTGAATGAGAGGAAGGAGAAGGTTCTGCAGACAGAGCAGGCTCCTTGTGTCTTATATCCTAAGCACACAAGATAAATGTCATGCTGATTAATATTTATTTTCTTCAGCCCGAAATGAATTGGAATTTAATTCTCAAATTAAATTGAAGAATTTGAAAATCAAAAATATGTTTTACTGAACACATTTTATTTTAATCACTTTTAAGACCTGTATGAAAAAAATCCCAGTCCTTTGCTGTACTTGGCATGTATTTTCACTCTGATGAAAAGCTTCTAAAAGACTTTTTGGAAATGTTTTTCCTTGAAATTTTTAAACATACCAAATGAATCCCTCAGGCAATTTTTTTTTCCAAGTCAGTATTTTCTAGTGGAAAAAGATTTCCATTTTAACCTTTCATTAATAAAATTTCTAGCCTGACTGAACACTTAGCTAAGTTGTGAGTGAATAGCTTGCTTCAGGAATCATTAATCCAGGCCTGATGTGAACTTGTGTCTCTCCAGCCTGTGGCCATACTCTGAAAGAAGGTGCCCCTGTATCTTTCCTCTGCTCCTGAACCATGTGGTGTCACTGGGAATGTTGATGGGAGGCTGTGGGGATGGAAAGGGCAGAGCAGGCGTGCTCTGGGAAGAAATGTGGTTGAGTAGGTCACACACGTGTGGGCTGCTAAACAGGGTCACCAAAGCTAAGATTAAAATTATGCTGACAAAAGTAAGGCTAGCGGAAAATGCATCTGAAATACAGCTTCCAGCTGTATGGTTACATTCTTATTTGCAATTCCTCACTTCCATGGTGTTTGTGAAGGAAAAATCATTTTCACTGATATGTTGGTGCTTGTGGTTCATTTTGAGTTCACTAGTCAAGAGCTTAACTAGTTCACTAACTTCTGAAAAACATGGCTACTAATAGATTCAATCATATATGAAAATAAAATCTATTTTTTAATCTCT